GGGGGGGGCAGAGGGACATCTTGGTGGGGGGTGGGAAGCAGCCAAGGCAGGCAAGGCCCCAAGCTGCCAGGAAATCCCGTGGGGCTGGTTTCCAGAGGGGTCGGTCCCCTCTCTGAGCCCAAGGCCCAGCTGGTGGGGTCTGGCCAAGGGAGGGTTTCAGCCCCTGCTCACTCTGCTTCACAGCCCTGTTGCCGTGCGGTCGTCTCCCTGGGTCTGGCTGGGCTGCGGCTCCAAACGCCCAGGAGCAGATCTGGGCATCCAGACAGCCGGGAGGATGTGGGACCCCGAATTCATGCCCCTGTCACCCAGTTGCCCCCTCTGACCCCCCCTGCCTTTAGACAACTGCAGGGCTGCCCCCGTTTCCACAGGACCCCCTTTCCCATAACAACCAGAACAGGAGTTGGGGCAGGTGGCCGGGGCCGACAACAACAGACGCTAGTGCTTTCCCCCTGCTCACGCTCAGCCCATCTGCGCGGCATTTGGGCATGGGGCTCAGGCCTAGGCAGCCAAATACATTAGCCAGCCAGCCGCAAGGGTAGGAATACCAGCTAGGCATTTACCAAGCTTGCATTTGGGTAAAGATAAAAGCCTACTACTGCCGCCAGCAAAGAGAACAGCTTGAGAGATACCCACTGCTGCCGCGTCCACGTTCCCTCCCCATTCACAACCCCCGGGGTGCTACTAGGCACTGCTCTTGCTACTGCAGCCGCTGCTCCGGCCTCAAAGAAATCCCGATTCCCCGTTCAAAATATGAGGTGCCCAAGGTCCCACAAGGCAGTGGCAGGGCTGGGGAGCGCGTCTGAGCCCCTCCGCCCTCCTGTCCGGCTTCACTGAGGGTCAACAGGGTGGAAACGCGCCTGGGGCAGCCCCAGGGACTGAAGGAGACATGCAGCGTACGGGCCTTGCTCCATCGGGCGCATCCCGCCAATGGGGTGACGCAGAACCGAGCCGGGCCCACGCGGTTTTGCAGCAAAAAAAGGGCGTCAGGCACAACCGCCAACTCTGCTACTCTCCGAGAGGGGCAATCTCCCATCCTCTCCAGATGGAGAAGGCTCCCGTGCCCCACGAAGCGCACCCAGGATCAACACGGGTGCAGAAATGCCCCTAACTGCCCGAGTCGGCTGCTCCCGGCAGGAGGCAAGGGGAGCACGGCTGGGATGGGACCTGCAGGCAGCTGCCCTCCATCCCCTCAACACTGATGCCACGTGAAAAGGCCACGGCACCAGGACAGGAGGGGCACAGGTTGAAACGACTAGGCCAGGACACGAAGCAGCGCGGAGCGGCGAGATGTTGGCGTCGGGGGCCAGAAGGGGAACAGCAGCGAAGCCCAATTTGGAGGGGATTATTGCTCTTCTAAACCCCCACCCAGGGATGGACAATCAAGTTACTAATTCCCGGGTTAAGCAGGGAAGGGGGGGAGGGCTGCTGGGATTAACTACGCTGCAGAGAAAGGCCGTTGCCTCCGACTTCAAGCAGACTTTTGGCGCTCGGCTGTTGTGCTGATGGGCCCAAGGCACCACGAGCCTCCTGAATGCGTGGATAAGTCAGGCCCAGGAAGGGCCGGGCCCTCCAGAGCAGTCGAACCAGCCCCGAGTCTGACCTCTACGCAGGACCCACGATGTGGCTAGTGTCAGGCACGAATGGGGAAGGAAGGAAGAAAGCCATTGCTGTTGTTTGCTTTTAACAATCTTGGTGCAAGCCAGTTTTGTGGGCTGAGGCTGTTTTCGGCGCTGCATTTGTACAGCCCCGAGCACGGGATGAGTAATAAACAGGGTTCGTGACCACCGAGAGAAGAGCTTGCCTTCCCCCCACCCACGTGCTGCAGCTGGGGCCCACCCGCGGGGGAACAGCGCAGCAGCAGCAGGGAGGCTCCTTGCACGGCTGCAATGAGCTGGCGTGCACAGGGGTGTGGTGTGCACACACCTATGCGGGCAGCAAAGGGTGGCATGAGGAAGATGCAGCTGGAATAAGGGCTGTCCAGCGCCAGGCACTGCACAGATACAGCATGCGAGCTCCCAGCCTGTGCAGCAAGGCACCTCAAGGGACACCCTGAAGCGTGGGAGAGGGAAACCGAGGCACAGACAGGGGGAAGTGACTTGCCCAGCACCAGCCTCCTTTGCTACTGTTTTCCTTCCAAGTCCCAGCTCCTGGAGTCATGTGAGCTGTCTCAGAAGAGCTACGTTCCCAGCCCTCAGGCTCCACAACTGTGGAGCGGAGGAGGAGGAGGTCCCAGCGGCCACCAGTTTAATCTTGTGACGTGCGAGTCCACGTAGTGATCACGGCAATTGGGCCGGTGACCATGAGTGGCTGGAGGTCCCACCAGGAAGGGACTTACCGCACCAGTGCACGGTATGAGCAAGGAGCACGCAGGCAAGGCACCTTACCCGCACGGAGGAGCACCATCGCCTTTTCTCTGCAGCAGGGACCGAGTGCTCCTGGGGGCTGCTGAAAACCAGTGCATCCCCGTCCTTCCCAGTCACACCTATCTGAAACTACAGGCCATACTGTTCGAACGGCGATTCTCCCCAGCCTTGCAGGGCAGCCCTGTGCGTCTCGTCTGACCCTGAAACTGGGATAATCGGAGAGCAGCTTCTTCCACGGGCATTTCCCCCAAGCCTGAGCACCTCTGTGCTCCCAGCTCTCCTCCCACGGTCAGGAATTGTCTTTTCACACGAGACACAAGAGAATATTAATGTGATTTAAACCTGCCCCTAGCGAGGGGATGCTGCCCCGAGTCTTTGCACAGCCCTCGTGACCATCCAGCACAGCAAACGGGCCGAGTGCCTCCCTGCCAGTGCTGGGGATGGGTACCAGGAGCACGCGAGGCTGGAGACCTACTGAAGCTCTTGTCTTCTCCATGCACAGTCCCCAACCGTAGTGGCCTAATGGGCAGAGAGGGGCTGCAAAATGATCTTATGGGTTAATTAAGACATGACAAATGAATCCATGCCTAGCCTGCATCCTATCACCACCCAGGTGCCCGCACGGCAGCACTAACAGCTCCAGGTCAGCCTCTTCCACTAGACCGACCAAAAGGGAGCTGCAACGGGCTCGACGCAAGCAATGGCTTAAGGGCCGGCTCCTTGGAGGCTCTCCCGCAGGATCAGGGGGCGAAGGGAAGTCTGGAGGGAAGAGGATGAAGGGGAACAAAGGATGGTGGAGCCGAGATCCCAGCAGGGCTATCGCGGGCAAAACTGGGGGAAGACCTGGGACGTTTCTGTGAGCGCTGGTCACGTCAGGGACCTTTGCTGTTTACCCCTTGAGGGAACGCTAGCAGGTCGAGAGACCCCTGCAAATGCTCCGCCGAGGAGGCGTGTGGCCCGTGGATCCCCGCGGGCAGCTCCCAGATGCGCGTGTGCATGCCTGTGCGTGTCTGGGTAAGAGGCTGGATGACCCGGGAGGTTCCCCCCGGGCTACGGCCTCCCAGGTCCCGTGGGCAGTCTGTGGTGCAGCAGGGACGTGACGCTGGGTCTCCCAGCTCATGCCTGGCTGTTCAGCCACATCCTCCTGCCCCCCTGACTCGCACCCGGGGTTTCTGCCCAGCTCGCCTCACTCCTCCCTCCCTCGGCTGCTTGGAAACCCACCATCACTGCCCATGCACTTGGCGAATCGACCGCGAACCCACCCAGAGAGCAGCCCCCCGTGCTCGTCACGCTCCTTTGCTGGCTCTGTGCATCACCGGAGTGAGATGTCCTGTGCACGCTCTCCTGACGCACCGTCCAGGTTCTCGCCGTGCTCCGAATCCTCGTGCTGGGCCTGGGGGCTCCAGCCCCTGCCATCTCGGGGCTTGGCAGCCCCCCAGGGCAGGGACCCCTCTCTGTGTTACCGTATTGCTCCGGTTATAAATCACCCCTGCACAGAAGCCAAACCTGCATTTCACGCAAAACAGCTTCTTCCCCTGAACTGAAGTTGGGAACGACCTTAAGCCGCTACTGCCTTTGCAACCCCCCAGGAGAATCAGATACGCAAGGCACGGGCCCCATGGGTTAAAAGCAGTGAAAACACTCCAATAAATACAGCCCCGAAAGCGTGCTGTCGTCAGCGTTGTTACTGCGTGCACAAAAATACCGCCGGGGTGAAAATCGGGGCTGCCGAGGGCTCGATTAGCGTTTGATCCCAGGTGTCAGTCGAGTGCAAATTTTATGGTTTGTCTGAAGGAAAACAAGGCTCAAGGTCTAATCAGAACAATATGGGAGGCAGAAAGGGGACTGGGTAAACCTACGGCAGGGCAGGGCAGGGCAGGGCAGGGCAGGACACCTTGGAGACTAACTTGTTCAGAGAGGCGTGATGCAGGGCCTGGACCCAACGAAGTCCCTTCCAATCTGTGAACAGAGACGGTACAAAACAGCAAGGAACAAAACCAGCGCAATGCAAAGGACAGGGCAAGGGGGAAGGGAAGGAGGGGGCAACTGCTGGGAGAGGCAAATGGTAAGGGGCGGAAGGGACCAAAAGGGAGAAACAAAGCAGTGACCGGGTGGAGGGGCTAGAAAAGCCAGTCCAGGGAAGGGGGTCAGAAGCTGGTCTCGGCTAGGACCACGCTGAACACGATCCAGCCTGCGGATCCCAGGGATGCCTGCCTGGATGCGGGCATCTGGTCCAGCCCCTGCTTGAGGCAGGATCATCCCCAACTAAACCCTCCCAGCCAAGCCCCGCTGGAAAGCCTCCAAGGATGGAGATGCCGCCACCTCTCAAGGTACCTGCTCCAGCACCTGACCACCCTCAGCGTCGGGACGTTCCTCCTCGTCTCCAGCCTCAGTTTCCCCTGCTGCAGCTTGAGGCCGTTGCTTCTAGTCCTACCCCTACGGCCACAAGAAAAAGCCCGTCTCCACCCTCCGTGTCACGGCACGCCAAGGATTTGAAGACCCTGGGCTGCTGCAGCTCCCCCTGCAACCCACAGACCAGGACAGTCACTGCAACCGATGAGAAACCTGGGGCGTT